ACATAAGCAGGCTGATAAATCCAGATTCATAGACCACAACTACAAGGTAAGCCAGAAAGAAAACTAGCAAAATAACCTTTCTTCTGTGCTTGCCTGCAGTTGTCTCAGTTCTTTAAGCACAATGTACAATATCTACATGTAGGTGACAAGTAAATTAACTGTCAAGCATGACATAGGATGCTAAGTTGGTTAAAGGTAGCAAGAAAACATGAAACTGCTAGTCCACAACTACATTACCTGCTTTTTAAAACAGAGATGAATAATAGCTTTTCATACTTCTATCCAACTTCTCTTTCCCAATGCTATTATTGGATTTGGCATGCATAAGCTATACTCTAAATCTGTAGCTTATCCACCTGTTTACAAGAATCATGAGAGGGGCTGTCACCTGAAATTTACCTAGATTGAACTTATAGGAGAAACAATGCACAATTTTTCACCTTAATCTCTGGCTCTGTGTATTAATCAATGTCAACAAATGACCAAAATAGGTGAAAAAATTGAGTTACTTAATTTAATTTCAGACATAACTTTTCTTGGTATGCTATGATATTCAAAATAGCTTTGTATTTCAACTTTATGGTATATTTTCTGTCATCCCTGACTTTGATTTTGGCTTCTCTATAGCTATATTTCTATAATGTAGAATACAGTTTGATACAAAAAAAGGTCCTCTTTTGGATATTCTGAATTTTTATCTATCTTTGACATTGAATATTATCAAGGCTTGTTATGAGTCTTAATATATAAAGGAAGTCTGAATAAAGAAAATAACACTAAAGTTTGATGCTGTTTCATTTTATAAATAAAATCATTAACAATGTGAAAAGGCTGTTGTCCTGTAGCTTCAAGAGAGAATGTGTGACTGGCCATATAAGTAACTCAGGGGAGTAGGAACTTGAAACTGAATCTTCTTTGTCCAAATTCAACAATCCTATGCTACCTTTGCTCTACATATTAACTGTGGAAGGCCACTTATATGAAAAGAATAAAAGTCAGACACTTGTTAGTTTTTCCTTAGAAACTAGGAACTTGGCAGATGAGGATGTCATGATTCTTCCTATGATATACTGATATTATATAGCAATAGCATAGCACTTAGTCTTATATACCGTTTCATAGGGCTTTACAGCACTCTACGCAGTTTAGAATCAGCACATTGTCCCCATTTTAGTGGGCCCTCATTTTAAAGACTTCGAAAGGATGGAACGCTAAGTCAGCCTTCAGCTGATCAGAATCGAATTCCTGGCAGTGGGCAGAGTTAGCCTGCCATACTGCATTCTAACCACTGCGCTATCATGGTACCACATGCACATAATGGGGGAAAAACTTAATGAAAAACAATGAACATATGTAATCTTCCGTGAATTCAACTACCTCAGTATCTTTATCATGCAGAGGAAGTCTAGGTATAAGGAGTTACATTCTCAATGTTTGTTTGTTTTTTAGCAGATAAAGATATTTTTATCTCTAAGTGAGGCCAGGCAATGAATCTAATATTGGGAGTTAGGTCATATCTATGTTCCTCACCTTGTCTACCTTTCCCTTCATAACACATGGTGAATCTCCAAATAGACAAGCTACTGTTGGATTCCTATGTCTGGCTGCTACTGTGCCTGTAAATAATTCTTTAGTGCTGGCCAGGCTTTCTATCCCACATGACTTTTCTTTTTTAAAAGGAAAGTAGCAGGGTATGAAACAAAGCATCTGCTTGCAGAATTTCCACCCCAATAATTCTTCTTTACGCTATGCCTAAAATAGGAGGCTGCAATGCCTAGTACTTAATTTGATGATATGTCTACCTATCCAGAAATAGGTAAGCAGAGATAGAAGGGAACTTCCTGTTGGAGAAGCTGATCAAGGAAATCATTTGGCATTCAAGTTACTCTGTCCTGTGTAACTTATAATTTTAAGGCAACCATTTTATGAGGGTTCTCCAAGTATGGTCTCAACAATCCTAGTGTTCCCACAACACCAAAAGGTGACATATCCCTGAGCTATTCCAGGTATGAATGCAGGAGGTGCACTGTAATAGTCATGATACCTTATTCAGAATATATATCCTAAATACTGAACTACAAGTTTTGCTCAGAATGGTATTCTAACTGAACACATACTTAATCTGTGTGCATCTATAGTTCATCCCTCAATCATGGTATCATATTTTTGAAATAACCTTAGCTCACCCTCACCGATAAGACTGCAGGAATTTTCTGCATGTTGTGCAACAATTAGAAGCACAAGGATTCCATATAAATACTGGCAGCCCTGGGTTGATTTCTTTACTGTAGAGTTCTCCAACCTTTCTGGCTTTGTGGACCAGCTAGCGAGTGGAAAGAGGGAATGGTTCTGCACAAATGGTTGGCACACACGCCCACTGTTCACACAAATGGAGTGTGTATGTGCACCCACTACTCTTGCAAGTGGGGATATGCGCACGTGCAGTCTTGCCCACTCCTTCCATGGCCCAGTTCCGAATGACTCAAGGCCCAGTAGTGGGCCATAGCCTGGGGTTGGGAACTCCTGCTTTACAGCTTCTTTTTTCATTTTAGAATTAAAATTTATCTCCTTTTATTTGATTATTTATTTATTATAATATGCCTCCTTTTATTTGAGTTTATGTAGTCAGGATTCTCATAATCTGAATTTACTCTCTATTCTTTCCTCACCTCCTTTTTAACTACATAAACTCCTGCATAAACTCCTACATAAACACCCTAGTTCCAACAAATGTTTCATTATTCAACTATCTCAGCTAATAGTAAAGTAATGAGATCAGCTGAACCATGGTGTATACTGAAGAATGAAGGACAATTAATCACAATAGCCAAGATTTCTACTTGTCAATATAGGCTTCGATTATAAGTACCCTTTTTAAAACTTCTCAATTATTTAGAAAACACCTATATTAAGGATAAATAATAAACAACACTTTTTTTTGGTATGAGACCAAAGCTTTGTAATAGTCTACATGTAGAGTCCCAGGAATTACATGTCTTTGGCCCCATATGAAGAAGGCTAAGATTCTTAAGCATATATTTATGAACATGAATCACTTCTGTACCATACTGATCCTCACTGTTATCAAAATAACATCTGATTTATTCTCCTTGGATTAAAGAGGGTTAAAAATTATGAAAGAGGGTTTCACTATTAAAAGAATAGTAAAATGTGGTATTTAGGCAATATTAGAAATGCCTTCCAGTAAGCATTTTCCTTTTTCTAGTTTTGCTAACCAGAACAAATGCTGATTATTTATTCCTAGTTAATTGCTTTCAACAAACAGAGGAAGCTTCCTTGATGCTCAACAGACTATTGGCATAACACATTTCACATTCTGGCACCAAGTGCATTTTCAAGCTGGAAACAGTTTCATTTATTGAAGGGAAATCATCTAGACAACCACCAAGTGGGGGGGAGGAGGGGGCTAATCCAAATGCTTCCAATATTGAAAGCATCCAACAGTAAATATGGGGGCTGCTTCTTGGCACATTTTTTGTAATTGAACACAGGAGCCCAGAAATCTTTATGGGAAAGGAGCTGGTGAGAATCTCTATGAATTGAATTATTATGACTTTGTTAAATATAAGTAAATGGATGGTTACCAACCCAGCCTAGACAAAATTATTCAACTCAGAATTAAATATATGACAATCTTACATTTGACAGCGCTTTCAGGAATTTTTTTACAGATCAAGGCTGAGAAAAAAATAACAAAAACCCGCCGATGAACGCTAGAAGGCAACAAAGAGACACAGAAGTCAACTCTCTGCTGCTGCCTAGTGGTCGTCTGACTTTATGCAGCCCAGATATGCTAGGTATATCTGTTATTTAGCACCCAGGAATAGGGCTCGCTCTTCAAAATGAATAGCCAGCCTCCTCCACAAAACGTTGATCCTATTCCGAATCGGGTAGGTGAAGTATTGCATATCTAATAAAGGAGAGCACATATTCCATGCTTGCTCGCTCGCTCCCATCCAACCAATACATTTAAAATTATCTTGCTAAACCATGGGTCTGGGGAATTACATTTTTGAGAACAGGTTCTTGAACGCATGCCATCAACCACTCACGGATACTTTATATCAACCAGCACTGCAAATTTATGTGTATGAATTAAAATGGCTGCTTGTGCAGGAGAAAAATGGAGGTAAGGTAACCTTTAAGAGCAACTCTCGGGGTGGTAGCAGGAAAAATGAAGAAGGCGGCGGCGGCGGGGGGCAAGCAACAGGGAGATCGAGAAGGAGGATTAAGAATAACCCTCCCCCACCCCCGAAACCGACTCTTCCCACTGTATATATAGCCTACCTTTCTATCAACGTAGAGTTAACATAAGTCACACAGTTTAAGCTCCGTAGCCAGCCCGATGGAATTTATTTTTGCCTGCCGAGATCCCACCGACCACCTCGGACGCCTTTCATTGAAGCAACACGCAGGTCTCCGAGGAGGCGCAATCCAGGATTCGCCACACCGACCTTCCTCCCTTATTTTTTCTTCCCCCCTCCTCCCGCCGCCCCTCCGACCGACTCGCGACTATTTTTAGGCAGCCGAGAAAACAAGCGCTGACCCTTCGGGCGCGGGGAGGCGCCTTCTGCGCGCGAAAAGGCCGGGCTCTGCGCCGGGGGGTGGGCGCGGGGAGGGGAGGTGAAGCTCTTCGCCGCTGAAATCGAAGGATGCGCGTCCCGGCCCGCAAAAGGCGCGCGCTGCTCTGCAGGGGAACCAGCGGCCGCCCCCCTCCCAACTGCGGAGGCGGCCCGAGGGAAGCTGGCGGGGATTCCGGCTTGGATTCCGACAGTTGAAACGCTCCCTCGATTAGCTCCCGCTTTCCAGCAGCCCCGCCACGCGTCTTTCCCCGAGCGGGTAAAACGAACCACATTCACACGCCTCTGGCCAAGCACGTGCTACGCCCTCCCGTCCCCCGCGGGCTCCCGTTCCCTTTTCTCCCCCCCACGCCGTTTAGTTAACGCCTCGGGAGGAGAGCAACGCGCGCGTCGACTCACCTTTCCGACGACCGATTATTTAACGCGTCTGCTTTTGGCCTCTGGCTGCGGCTAAACCGCGGCTGGGCGCTTGTTTTCAGCAGCTTATAGCCCAGCCGCCCCCTGCGGCTGAGGTTTTTAAAAGAACGCCGGGGAAGGAGGGTTCGCCCGGCAGATGCCCGGGGGGACTCCCGCTGTCAGTCATTCCCTGGCACACAGCTTGCAGCTGCTGATTCCAAATTCACGGCAGTCCTGCTGCATGAAGTCATCCGCTGCTCCTCCTCCCCTATAGCTTACCGCATTCAGCTTCTACACCGTGGAGGGGTGGCGAAAAGGGTTTCCCCCCCCCCTTCCCCGTGGAAAGCTGGCTGGGTCGAGGATGCGCTTTCCTGGATTTCAAGGTGACGAGAGAAGTTCGGCGTTTCTCTTGGAAGGTTCGCACGTACCAACCGTTCTTCCTGGAAACGGGGGGGGGGGGCTTGGAAGGCCAAGAGAAATTCCCCACCTCCCTTGGCTCCGACCCCGATTTAGGAGGCTGAATGGACTCTCCCACTCACTAGAACGCCTCTTTTCCCCCTCCTCGAATTTGTCTCCCAAGGGCCGGCTATGCTGTGGAGAAGGCTTGGCGTTTATGTGGAGAGGGAGCGCCAGCGCTACAGCTTTCCTTTGGACAGAGCGGGCTGGAGGGCGATCAAACGAAAACCTGGTTTTTCTTTTGCTTTGCTACCCGGTCTGGGGGGGGGCGGAGGGGAAAAGCAGGGCACAACCCTTTCCCACTGAAAAGTGTCCCGGAATCCGTACGGCTCTCTTTCAGCTTCTTAGGGCAGGAAATAAGTTTTGTGTGTGTATATACGCATATACCTGCATCTATAATATACACACTCAAATGCACCCTTGCAAGAAAAAAAATAATATTCTATTTTTTGTTTTAGCATCTCTTCTCCACTTGCTCACCTGCTTACTATAATGTTAGCACACAACCTGAGCCATTTCTTCTGCATATTCTTTCAGCTAGTCTTCCAGAAAGGGTTAGACAATTAGTGGTGGCATATCTGCATATTTTGTTGTAGCTGCTTTCAGATTTCAGGTGATCTTAAGTGAGGTACGAAAAAGGACTCTTGTTTAGCAAGAGTATCTATAGAGGAGGTCATCTTCCTCTTGATGTGGAAGCATTCTGCTATCAAAGGGGATAGTGGAATGAATAATCTATGAGGAATATTGCTTATTGATAATATTGATAAATATTGCTTATCAACCAACAGGTAGATTTTCTCCATGATGAAGTCTCTGTAACCTGTTCCTTCAAGTCTTCCAATGGTGTATCCATTACTATCAAACTTGCTGCTGGTAATCTTTTTCTTCTCTTTCCTTCCATCTTTCCCAGCATTAGAACCACCTCCAGATACCTAGATATTTGATAATGTGTTGGAATAATTTAAACCTGGTCATTTGTGTCTTGAGTGAAAACTCTGGATTTATTCATTTAATGATCCATTTGTTTGTTTTTATGATTCCCCAGGGTAGTTTCAGGACTTTTTTCCCCCAACTCCAATATTCAAAAAATACTTAAGTTCTTTCTATTCTAGTCCAACTTTCACTTCCATATCACATAGCATACCACTACTTCTACAATTTTGACCCTAAGTATAGATACATTACAGTATCTGAATCTTTTTTAAGATCTTCATGGCTGATCTGTTGATTGCTCTAGTCTGCAGTATTTCTGGATTGCCTAGTCTTTTACTGTTGATGGCTGATCATAAAAGGCAGAAGTTGTCTATTAATTCAGTATCTTCTTTGTCAAATGAGGGATTTACACCTTCCTTATTTGAGCTCTCAAACTAAGAGGTAAATTCTTATACTATGTCATGCCCTAGTATTGTACATTCCATGACTGAGATGGGGAGATATTTTCTACCACAATTGGTAACAATATTTCGGTCACTAATTAATATGGCCACATGATGTCTTGCTTTATGACTGCATTAGCATTTAGCTAATTGGTTGCTGCATTTGGTTGCTGCATTTAGCAACCAAAATGTTGGTCCCAGTTGTGGTTATAAGTCAAGAACTACCAGTATATGGTTTTACACATGACCATCAGAGGTCAGTATATCAGCAACTTCAGCCCCACTGGTACTCATCAAATACACACAGCTGTTATAGGTATTATTAGATCTTATGTACTTTACACCCCTGTACTAAGAATTGAATTCTTAGGCTACTGTGTTTTATATTGTGATGCCCTGTGATGCCTTTAGATCAAAGAATAAACAAAACTTTTATTGATTTTTAATGGTAGAGCAAGGGGACAGTTTTGCTTATAAAACGTTGTGAACCAATAGTAAAGGTAAGTAGAACCCACCCCTGTTCTATACATATAAATGGAAAACTTTATGCAATGGTGAATCCTGATAAAACAGGATTCTCAAAATCGTCAGCCAACTATCCTATTCTGTCTAACATGTGGATTAACATTTCCCAGTATTTACTTGTGATGATGTCTGAATTCTGTCTCAAGGATCAGAAAATAGTGAATACTGTACCTCAATTAGAATGAATTTCAATTGCTAGACTGATAGACTATAAACCAGTGGTGAAATCCAAATGTTTTTACTACCGGTTCTGTGGGTGTGGCTTGGTGTGCGTGGTGTGGTGTGGCTTGGTGGGTGTGGCTTGGTAGGCATAGCAAGGGAAGGATACTGAAAATCCCTATTCTCTCCCCACTCCTGGGGGAAGGATATTGTAAAATCTCCATTCCCACCCCACTCCAGGGGAAGGATACTGCAAAATCCCCATTCCCTCCCCACTCCTGAGGGGGAAGGATACTGCAAAATCTCCATTCCCACCCCACTCTGGGGCCAGCCAGAGGTGGTATTTGCTGGTTCTCCAAACTACTCAAAATTTCCGCTACCGGTTCTCCAGAACCTGTCAGAACCTGCTGGATTTCACCCTTGCTATAAACCAATCTAAACGCTTGAGGTTAGATTTTGCTTTTTCTGGTTGCCTAGAACTTACAATAACATTTCCAATCTGTTACCTACTAGTTATTTTGAATTAAAACTCCCATTGCACTGCTAACATGGACAGCACTAAGTTGAAGAATAATAGCTCAGAATAATATTATTTCTGATGCTGGACATGCGAGTGTACTAATGTGTTTCTTTCAACATGTTCAGAGTTGTTGTCTCTCTGCATAAAATAAGTACACCCTAGAATAAGACACAGATTAGTATTATAACTACCTGATATATAGTAGTCAACATAGGCATGTATTTTCCAGGTTGCTACATCATATAGCTTTCAATATGGATCAACATGCCATTCCTGAACTAAAATAATTTCAGTCTTTTTCTAATAGATTTTATCCTATTATACCATCTGAAGGGAATAGTTCTTGTCTCCTATCGCCATACACTATATTTAATGTTTTCTGCTCTTTCTTGTTCTCTTTACTACCACACCTATAGAGTGATTTTGAATATAAATGGCAGTGTTCCTTCCAACATGACTTTATACAACTATTTTTAATTGCTTGCAAAAAATAGCAACTGTATATGCCAGTGGTGGGATTCAAATTTTTTTACTACTGGTTCTGTGGGAGTGGCTTGGTGGGTGTGGCAGGGGAAGGATACTGTAAAATCTTCATTCCCACCCCACTCCAGAGAAAGGTTACTGCAAAATCCCCATTTCCTCCCGATCAGCTGGGACTCGGGAGGCAGAGATGGTGCCAGTCAGAGGTGGTATTTGCTGATTCACCGAACTACTCAAAATTTCCGCTACCAGTTCTCCAGAACTGGTCAGAACCTGCTGAATACCACCTCTGGTATATGATGTTTATATTCCACATTTTGTGTTCTAGTATTTCTTGTGATGGGCCTAAAGCATCAGAACAATCAAAGAAAAGGCATTCTGGAAATACAAGCTCATAAAATAGAATTTCACATGAGATTTAATTTTGAACCAGTTATGTCTTCAGATGTTGGGAGGCCTGAAGACAAAAAACAGAACATTGGTGCCTTAATCCTTTAATATCTGCTCTCAGAAAAAGAAGTCTGAACATTTTGATCTTGTTCACTCCAGTGACATAATGATGTCACCAGCTGCACCTCTTTTATTTCCCTGGCAAAGGAAGTAGAGAATGTTCATCTATTCTGTTGCAGAGTCATTGCCAGTAGAAATAGACTTTACTGAATCGCATGATATCATAAAAATGCTATTGGGAATAACCATTTTCAACCATGTTAGAGTTCTTAAAAGGCCCAAATGGTCAAACCTGCTATTTTAGTAGCTATTTTTAGAATTTCATGTTACCATTTTATTATTGGATCAATATACAAAATGAGTTCCTGACAAGAAAGTTTTATGAATTTCCTTTATTTGCTGCTGAAGCAGGCCTGGAAGGGCCATTCAATCAAAATGAGTATTTATATGTGTGTGAGTAAGAAAGAGGGAGGAAAGAGTGGCAGAAATAATAGTTGTGTGTTTCCAAATGTTTCTTGGGGACTTCATAACATCTATAAATGAAATATGTCTTACCTGGTGAATAACAAATAAAACTCCTATGAAAATCAAAGTTATGAGAATGCAACTTTTCCAGTGGTGCTACATAGAGCACACTAGTTCCATTGAGCAACTCTAAAGATAAAAACAAGGAGCAACTGTGTTTTGAATGTTAGCAGGAGAAATGAAATGGAAGAATAGCTTTTAGTCAGCCTTTCATTGGTGCTGTAGCCAAAAGGTGGAATCAGTTCAGGAACATCAAACACACTTAAAAACAGGTTTTAAAGTTATTCACATAGTATAGATTATTTTTGATGGTCTAGTTTCAAACATTGTTTTGAAAAGAGAGTTCCCCCCATATTTTATTTCATATTTTCAGCTGCTTCTTGTTTCAGGATCCATCTAAAAATGCAAAAACAAAATGACTGCCATAGTAGAAAACGTTCCTTATTTGTCAGAAAACAAACGAATAAGGTTAAAGGTGCCAGGCTAAACTATACAGAGCACAGCAACAGACGCTACAGCTTTAGTTGAATCTGGAATGGAATGGAATGGAATGGAATGGAATGGAATAGAATAGAATAGAATAGAATAGAATAGAATAGAATAGAATAGAATAGAATATTTATTTATTTTATTTAATGGGACTTGTATGCCACCCTATCTCCACAGGACTCAGGGCGGCTCACAACGATTAAAACAGAACAAACCATTAAAACAGAAGTCCAAGTTAAAATTAAGAAATTCAATAAAACCCAGATTAAAACCCCCATCAGTCCAAGGCGGCCAGGTGAAATAGCCACGTTTTCAGCCCACGGCGGAAGGAGCGAACGTCAGGGGCCAGCCGGAGTTCCAGAGGGAGTTGATTCCAAAGGGCGGGTGCACCCACAGAGAAAGCTCTCTCCCTGGGGGTCGCCAGCTGACACTGTCTGGCCGACGGCACCCTGAGTAGACCCTCCCTGTGGGA